CTGGTCTTTGGGCAATGAAGGGAGGAAACATGTAAGATAAGGTAGGAGATAGATTTTAAAATACAAAGCATTTTGGTAGAGAACTCTCAAGAGTGAGACCTTAGAATGGAGAGTAAGAAGCCATTGAAAACATCAGTTAGATTCATAACATGGTAATCTGCTCTCTATTCCCCCAACTCAGAGCCCTGTCTTCATCCAGGAGCCAAGAGCTATTTCTAAGCTGAGGTAAATTCACTGAGTGCTCTCCAACCTATGTGTTGGCTTGTTTCCAGCATAGGCTGGCTATTTTGGCCTTGACTTTGTCCTTGGAAGTCTTTTGGGCAAGCACTGATGTTCAAGACCTGCATATAATGGCAACAAATCAGGTTCAAGATTTCCTAGTTAGATTTGGCCATGACCGAGATAGTCATTACTGGAAAAAAACCCTTCTCTCCCCCTCCTCCCACCCCAGTGAGAAGTGATGTCAGTATTTTAGGATGAAGGTTGGGAAAATATTAGGACACATTAAATTTGGCTCTATCAATGAATATTACATAAAAAAGGTTTCAATGTCCTTACAATTAAAAGAATTACAACCATGTAGAGGTTGGTCTTTCCTTCCTTCTCTCCCTCCCTCCTCCCTATATCTCTGCCTCTCTATTCCTTTCTTCACCCTCTTCTTTCCTCTCCTTGCTTCTTTCCTCTGTCTCTCCACCTCCTCCTTTCCTGTTCTTTCCTTTCTTTCTGCCTCCCCTCTCTTCCTATATCCCCTCTTTCCCTTTACTTCCCTCTTTTCCCCCTTCCCTCTTTGTCTAACTCTCCCTTTTTACACACACACACACACACACACACACACACACACACACACACACACACACACACACACACACAGTCTTAGAGCTCTAAATTATTGAGCTTGCGTTGTTAGTACATACAGTTATCTTGTACAGAAAAGACAGTTAAGCATGGGGTGCTTCTCTGATGGGTGAAAACATTCTTTATAGGTTTCATTATCTCTTCTTAGTTCCCAAAGATAAGATTAAGATAGGCTTGTTTCTTTCTCTCTCTCTCTCTCTCTCTCTCTCTCTCTCTCTCTCTCTCTCTCTCTCTCTCTCTCTCTCTCTCTCTCTCTCTCTCTCTCCCTCCTCCCTCCCTCCCTCTCTCCCTCTCCCTTACTTATTGCTGTTATTTCCCCTAAAAGAAGAAGAGCTCTTGCCTATACAGCAAATCACATTATTTCACTTCATTAAGGGTTAAGCGTTTGATTTCAGTTTATTACCAGTTGATACTGAGTAAGCAATGCTGAGCCAGCAGATGGCAATCAGTGGCTTGCTTCAGGGGTAGGTCTTTGCATTCTCTGTGCTGCCCCAATTTACCAAAAGGTGAGCACAAAAGTGGGAGTGGAAGAAGAGCAGAGAACAGGAAGGCTATGTGCCTCTAATGTAGTAGATCTAAATAATGTGAGAAAAACAAAAACTAATATTTCTTGTTCCTGGTCTTTCACTGAAACTGATGGTTGTTCTCACACCATAATTATAGAGTACAACTGAAGATCAAAATTTGTGCTTTTGAGATCATATAAGGCTGTTTGTACCTGTAAAAGTAGCATGATTAGTATTGGGTTTGGGGGCAGAATGCTTGGGTTTTAGCCTGGCTCTGATACTTACTGTGGTTGGAATGATAAGAAAGTGATTTAGCCTCTCTGAACCTCAGTTTCATCATCTATAAAGTGGGGATAATGCTTGCTCAAGCAATCTCATAGAATTGATGTAAGGAAATCACTTTGTGAAATTGTAATGTGCTATATACATGTGTGCTTTTATTCTTATATTAGGCAGCCCTTTGTGTAGATGAATTTGAATGTTTGATCATGTCTTTGTGAAGAGTAAAAATGATTTAGAAAATAGTGCAAATAGATGGGGGCTATACAATTTTGTTAAATATTTACCAATTACATTTTATTTTGCTTTGGACAACACTCAGGAGTGTTGTGGGCCACATGTGGCCCATTGGTGGCATATTTGACACCTCTGCTGTACAGTATGTTTCTTTAGCTTTTGTAGATTTCCTTACAACAGCTAGAGTCAGCTGCACAGGATAGTGTATACGGTGTCAGAATTGGATTAAAAAAGATATGAGTTTGATTCCTTCAGACACTAACTATATGACACTGGCCAAGTCACTTAACTTGTTTGTGCCTCAGTTTCTTCATCTGTAAAATGGGGATAACAACAGCCTCTATCTCATGAGGTTGCGGTTAGAACCAAGTGAAATGATTTATATAAAATGCTATCCATACTTTAAAGTGCTGTATAAACTTGAGATAAAAACAACTAAAGGAAGGTAATGCAATTATGCACCAAATTTTTAAGGATTAATTGGCTCCTACCTTACTCCCAATGTAGTGTCTGATTTTTGATCCTTGCTTATTCATTGAGATGTGTTTGGGAACACACGGTAGATACTCTATACTTCCGAGTTTCATCTGGTAGGGAAGGGCAGGACTTAGAAAACTCACTCAAAGGTTTCTGTGGAAGCTTGGGCAATTGAAGTCTCAAGAAGTGGGTATCCATTGATTGAAAAAGGGTTGAACAAATTGTGGCAAATGAATGTATTGGAATATAAGTGTGTGATAAGAGATGATGAATATGAAGAATTCAGAGAAATTCAGGAAGACTTGGAAGCAATTTACATGGAGTGAAACAAGCAGAACCAGGGAGCAATCTACTTGGCATCTACTTATGGGTTCCTGTTGGTTTGTTGAGTGCCTTATGTGTTTCCTGTTTTTGTTTATGGAGGCTTTGGGTTCTTTGAATCTTCTACACTTTCTATGCAACGAAATAAAGGTTGTCTTAGCTTTTATGCATTTATTACCTTGAATGCTTATATGGGATCTCGGGGCATTTTTACCTACATTTGGGGAAATATAGACATGTGCTATAACATGAGCAAGTTTGGAGATTTTCCTACAGCAAATCCCAAGTGGCAAAGAAATAAAATTACCTATTCTGGGTTATTCTTCAGGATCAAATTTGGTTCAAGTGAATCTAGAGTCTTTGGGAGCAGACTTGAGCAACAGGTAACTGAAAGACTTCAGAACTCTGAACAATATGACTAAAAGTCATTTCATCATACGAATGATAAACTATACTCTTCGCATAGAGATGGTGGGACTTTAGATGCAAAATGAGACATTTTTAAAAATAGTCTATTGATTTGCTTAAACATGCTTGTTTGTTACAGAGGTCAAAGGGGGGAAAGGCTCACATAGTGTCCAAAGAAGAATTCAAATTCATGTCTTCTTGGTTCCACTTCTGACACTTTTTCTTTGACATGGGAGGACTAGACTTTGGCTGTGATGTCGCTGGGACTTTTCTTTTTGGAGTTTCTTTTAGGAAGTGATAGGTAGATTGCTTCTATCCTTATTTGGCTTTTTGTTTTCAATAGATCTGGAAAGTTTTCACTTATGTCTCTTGAAATATAGTGACCAGGCTTTATTTTTTAAAAAATTAGGAAATACAATGATTTGAATTCTCTCTCCTTGACTTACTTTCCAGATTTGACTTATTTCCTATTTGTTTTTGATCTTAGTTATCTTCTTTATTCATTTTTTTCATCTTTTAAATTTATTCTAATATTTATCTCATGGAATCACTCATATCTGTTTAGTATATTCTAATTTTCAGAAAGTCTGTTGTTTGGGTAAAGATTAATACTTTCTCTTCTAAGAATTTATTTTCCTTCCAGTTCTTTCCTGGAACTTTTATTTTTTTAAAATACCTTGCTTCATTTCTTCTGGATATTCTTATAGTCCTGGAAAATCTGTTTTTTTTCCATTAAGTCTCTGCTTCTAATTGTTACCAAGTTATTTTGGGAAATATTTCTAGATTTCAGTAGACTTTTGGGCTGGTTAAGGACCTTTTTTTTGGTTTACTAATCTATCTAGATTTAATCCTTGAATTGGGGTTTGTGCCAGAGCTAGCCTCTAGCCCTGTAGCACTATTGGTAGGGGAGGTTTATGGAGTGTTTGTGGAGACTAGAACCTCTGGTGTGAGGACTTGCCAAGCACTTTTCAGGACTGATCATCTATCTTTGGTGTCCATCACTCAACTCTCTCACCTTTGACTCCAAGAAGCTTTAGCATGTGCAGCAACCTGGTAAAACCATCTCAGTGGGCTGACACAGGTTGAGTGTAACTGACAGGTCTCAAAACTGTCAGTGAGTTAGGGGGACATCTACCCAAGTATGAGAAGACTTCTCCCAGCAGAATGAGTAGATGAGAATAATTTGTTCCAATGGCCATGAAGCAGCCACTGTGGGTGCTTAGAGCTTGGTCAGACATTGAAGATATCAAAGTCATCCACTGCATTCTGGGCTGCTACCAGTCATCCTGATTTTTGTCAAGCCACTGGACTTTGATGATTGGAAAAGTGAGGCTGATGACTTTGTGTAACTCTGCCTCACTTCAATCCAGCTTGTGTGCAAGTTAAGACATTATCTCATGATGTCATTGGTCCTCTTCAAAACTGAAGAATGAATGACAACAATATTGTTACAAAGGAAGGTTCTTTTGGAGGCATGATGAGGGGTCTCTAGGAAGTGATTGCTATTTTTTAAAAAAGATCATCAATAAATCATTTACTTTAAAAAATGTTGAACTTTCTCTTCCCCCCCCCCAAAAAAAAGAATTCTACTCTCTGTCTCCCCTTTACTGCTTGGGTACTTTGAAAAGGATCAAAGTGTTAATACCAGAGAATTTCTTCAGATTTAAAAAATATATTTGAACCATCATGTAAGTACTTTAATATTAAAGTTATGCTGGACCTGAGTCTACATTTGACTTTTCCTTTCCTCTTTTCTCTTAGAGACTCCCATTTCTGTAATGTTTCAGAGCTTTCAGAATGAAATCATTAGAATCTAGATGCATATTCAAGTTCTATTGACTGTTGTTGAATAGAGAAGGTCATCAGTTTTCATTATGACATCCAATGACATTTAGGGAACATAGATTCCCTAAAGAAGCAGTGCCTAAACACCACATTGGACAACAACAAAAAAGATATTATTCTGGATTCCTATTCTTGGCTGTCACTTTTGAGTTCTCCAGTTCTCCAGGACAAGAAAATCAAGGAATTGAAGAGGTGAAGGTCAGTAGTTGTGTTAGAATTGTTATTAGCTCATAGTGAAAACCTAAGGCAGATGTTATGTCTTCCCCATCATACAGTAAATTCTGGTATCCAGCATGGTCAGGGAATGTCTTTCTGGTTAATCAAATATTCAGGCCAGTACAGAATTTCTGTAATGTCTTATCAATTTTCAAAGAATGGAAATAAAATACACAACACTAAAATGATACTGAACATAATTTACTATTTCTTTGATAATTTATAAAGCACATCAGAATCATGCAGTGCCTCAGGGTCATCATTATAGACATCAGTTATCACTTGTTCTGGAAAAATATGGAAATGCCTGTGAATAGAGATTTCCTGTTGATGGAATGCAAAGTGAGCAAGCAGTTTTCATAATTCTCCTACTGACCAATATACATGCATAGATGCTGCCCCAATGTGTGAGAAGATATTCTACACAAGACATTCAGATTTTCTGAAGCATGAAAGCATACTCTATGTTGATTCATTCTGTGTCTAACTTTTGTTTTACATCTTTAACATAGAACACACCATTCTCTTCCACTCTTGTTCCCAAAGTTGTTCCAACCTATTCCATAGTGCTACATTTTCAATTCTGGCATGTGCCATGTGGATGTGCTCTGAGTCTAGCTGTACATATTCAAAAATGTGGAGAGGAATGCAAATAGACATAGAATCTACCTACACACTATTCAAATGAAGACATTAAGAAAGTCCATTGCTCTCAATTCTTTGTCTTCCAGAAGGCACATATGAAAAAGACCATCCTTCATTAATATAAATTCAATTTCATAGCTCTTTGGGAGTGGAATATGTATTACCAAGCAATACCCCTTTCTGTAAGAATTTTACTTTTTCTGTTTTTCCCTTTCCTAGAGTCATATGAACAAGCTGTCATTACTGAACATTATCTACAATGGGTAGATCTTATGGCCTTAGGGAGATGTATGAGATTAAATGGTTAGTCATTCAGGTCTGAAAATGGAGAAAGTGATTTTATCATCTCAATATGGGTGGGAATTCTAAGAATTACACTAACATAATGCTTTATGGTTTGCAAAAGATTTTATATACATTATTTTTTTAGAAACATTATTCTTTTTAGAAACTCACAACAATTTTGTGAGGTTAACACTATAGGTCTTACCTTAGGAAAGTTAAGAAAAATTAAATGACTTGGTCATGCCTCACTAGTAAGTGTCTGAAGTGAGATATAAACCCTGGTCAACCAGGCTCCAAGCCCATAACTCTAGCCACAAACTCCTTACTTCTTCTTGCTAAACTTAAGGCTGGCAAAGCACTTTATGGACATTATTGTCTTTAAGCTTTGCAACAACTCAGTGAGGCAGATAAGATTATTGCCCTCAATTTATGGATAAGGAAACTGAAGCAAAGACAAGTTAAGTAACTCATCGTCTATGGTCTCACAGCTACTAAGCATCATAGGGGAAATTCTAGGCCCCATCTGATTCCAAGTCTGTTGTTTTTTTCTACTATAACATATACCTAACCCTTATGGTTCACCCTTGTGTCCAGTTGTAGTCAATCAACAATCTTTACTGAGTGCTTCTTACATTTCCCACCAGCTATCCTGCTTTCTTTTAACTCCATCATCATCCCCCACCCCCAGGAAGAGCTCACCCCCAAGAAACCTATCAGCAAGGAGATTTCATCATGTTTGATGCTCACACCTCATCGGAATCCTTGGTTGCCTCTGCTCCTCTGAATGAAAAGGTGAGAGGATGGAGCAAAGACTCCTACCAAAACCCCCATTTAAAGAGAACTCAGAAGCCCAGCTAACTCTCTATTTCCCACTAGCTGCTTGGCTTCAACTCAATCCTGGGGTGGGGGATCCCTTCACCTTCTTTTTATGTGTTGTCTTTCCCCTATTAGATTGTAAGTTTTTTGAAGGCAGGAATTATTTTTTTCTTATTTGTATCAATGGCACTTAGCACAGTGTTTGGAAGATACTAGATATTGAATAAGTGTGTTCTATATTGTATTTTATTGCATTGTATTGTATTATAATGTAATGTGGTATATCCTATATACAGGGCACTAAATGTTATTAGATGTATCTCTGACCTTGAAAAGTGTATACTTTAACAGCGGGTATGATGTTAGTGGACAAATAGGAGAAAATATGTAAACATGAGGAGACATACACACATACATATGCATATGTAGATATTTGAATACACCTGAGAGAGAAAGAGGGGTAGATAAGTAAGACTGAGGATTGCTGGATTGCTTAGTGTCTGAAGCTAGATAGAATCAATTAGGAAAGGCTGTTATAGAACAGCTTTCATAAGTGATGGTTTGAAAGAGAAGAAAGACATGATAAAGACAGAGGAGTACAGAAAGCCCAGGCAATTCATGAATTGACTTCAAACTCAGAGTTAGGAATTTAAATTTGATTTGTGAGGTAACTGAAAGACATCATCAGCTCTGGAGAAGTGGTGATTAAAAAGATGAGTTACTGTTGTATGTGGGATTGACTTGCTTGGATGGAAATTGGAGGCTAAGAAGTTGTATGTCTGGATGTGAAGAGGTTGGTTAAGGATTAAAACGATGGGATTTGATTTTAGTGGATTCCAGAAGTATATTTGGGCAGAAATGGCAGAACTTGATGTCTGACCAGATGTCGATGGGCATAGATAAGGTAAAGGGAAAGATGACTCCAAAATTATGAGCAATAGAAACAATAAATACTATAGAGATGTGTCCTTGACAGAGAAGAGAAAGTTGGGGAACAGTAGAGCAGTGAGGGCTTGGATTGGGAGTTCGATTTTAGATGTGGTTAGTTTGAACTTTGTTGAACATGCCAAAATATAGAAAGTGGGCTAGAAGTAGAGATAAGAGTTATGGCTTGGAAACTTATTGATACACATGCAGAAGCTGAAGTCATATAAGAAGGTCAACTCTTTAAGAGAGTGAGCCCTAGGCTTGGGTGGGAGGGAAAAGGCAGTGTGGGTTTGTTCCCAGTACTCTATACTGTGGTGAAGGTGTTGGCATTCTGACTCAAGATCCTTTCCTTTTGCTAATAGCATTCCATAATTGCCACAGACATAGAGAATAAAGTAAGATAAATTTTGTATTTAGCATATGTGGAAACATTATGAATAGTTGTAGACCCCATTCTCTTTGATGCCGTTTGACAATCTGATAATTTTTGCAACGATGTACTTAAAATGCTGTTTCATGCAAAGTTCAAGTTTTTCCCCTTTGTTTAAAAAACACACTCCATCTTTAATTTGCAGGGCTGTGTATTAATTTTGCTGAGAGCACCATTTATGTCCGTGTTCCTTCACTTTGTTTAAAGTCAGTTGTTGACAACTCTCAAGCGTGTCAAACTCTCATCGCTAATAATTGCTTAAGGATCCCTAACTTCTACAAATGTTGGTTCCAGCTCAAAACCCCATGCTAGCCCTGGAAGAAGAAAAAAAAGAGGGGGGGAGAAAGAACTTCTTCTGATGAATTTTTGATTTTCCTTCTTAACAAAGAAATGTCTGGGATTCAAAGAAATAGCTTAAAGTGATAATATAAAATAGAATATGGAGTGCACTGTTCTGAATGACTCTTTGCTTTTAATGTGGGGCTGAAAAATTGTCAGTGCCTTTTTTGATTAGATGACATTTTTTTTTTTGTTCTTGATCTAAGAATTGAGGAGAAAAACATGCTACTTGCATTTGAATATGGCATGAGTGGAAATGTAACATATTGGAGATAAAGTAATACCAGCAACGCCTCAAGGCAGCACCTGTATCTGTGGGTCAATGCTATTTCTCTTTAGATCGCTGCTGTGCCACTCTCACAGCCGCTGCTTTATTAGGCCTAATTAGGCGGGCTGTCACTTTTATTGGTGATGGAAAAGGAAGATAAGTAGATCACTTGTGTCATCTATCTCCATCCGGACGTGTCTAAAAAGTCTAAAGTGATTGCTGGAGGCCACAAATATATTCCACAAGAGGGAGAGAGGAGAAAAAAAAACACGCAGATCTGTAAAAAAATAAAATAAAACCTCTAGAAATTTCATCTTACCTTTAGCACTGCTGTGTGTAATTTCAAACCCACAGAGAAGACAGTAACAGAACACACTGAAAGCCCTTTTGTTCAGAGGGAGAAGGTTGTCTGTAATGGTTTTTGTGATTTTGAGTGGGGAAAAAAGCTGTTTTTCTACTTAGGAGTCTAGTGACAGTTTTTGAAGAAAAAGTTAGTCCAAGTTAAAATATGAAAACTACATGCAGTGCTACTAGAGACCAAAAAGCTACTTTAATGAGAGGAGAATCCTGCTCCTGATAATACTTTTTTTGGGGAATATCTGAAGGAGTTTTAATAGTCAGAGCCTGAATAGAATTATTTCCCCCAATTTGCCTGTAACAGTAATGTCTGTAAAACTAAATAGTCCAAAGGTGGAAAGTAATGTCCTTTCCTGCCTTGATCAAGTACCTAGGCCTATCTCAGAAGGGTCCATTTCCTTCTTTAAGATCCTTATATAACCACCATAGTTGATTAACAAATTGACTTTTCCCCATATATTCTTTCCAGTGTTATGTTAGTACTGCATTTGTAGTCTGTTCTTGTAACTTGATGTCTCTACTTGATATTATGGGATATTATTTGGAAATCTCCAATTCATTTGTTGCAATTCAACAAAAATTTATTAAACTCTTCAGTATTAGGCAGTGTTCTAGCCTTTGGGGATAGAGACAAAAATGAAATGATCCTTTCCCTCAGTACATTCTACTGGTGTGATGCATTGTGTATACAAGTAAGTAAATACAAAGTAAGTACAAAGAAATCCTCTTTAATCTGGAGAGGGAAAAAGGACTTATAACTTGGAGAAAGGGAAATCATGAAAACCCTCCTGTAGGAAGTAGCATCTTAACTGAGTGTGAAAAAAAAAACCCCAAACCAAGAATTCTATCTGTATGAAACACAGATTGCGTCCTCATGAAACTTACAATGTAGTTGAGGAAATACTTTTCTGTATCCCCAACAATGGCTCATATCCCCATCAGGGCCACAGAGCAAGAACTCAATAAACAACTTGTACTTTTTAAAAACTGATAATTGCATGCATTTTTTGATGGTGGTTGGGAAACTTGTTCGGCTATTTCCATGCCAGATCCTGAAAATCTCACCATTACAAAGCAAATATGTATAGGGAATCAACTTATACATAGTGCTGCCTGTGTCCTCTGAGTTTAGAGTTTTTAATCTAAAATAGGTGACTGACCTAGACCAACCAAAACCTTACAGAGACTGAGTGAGCACAGTGATAGATAAGATCAAATATTAACACTGTGTAAATGGAAGGTTAAGGGTGTTTGTGAGTTGGCAAGTATGATGGACTCATGGAAACTTCCTGCTTCACTGTAATGGAATAGATGCAGTTATCATTTTTCTATTAATCAGTTAGAAGGGACTCAAGGAGAAGGATTTCAGGAGATATTTGAAGGAAGAGAAAGAAAGAGATTGATGATCTGGGTTTTAGGGCTGCCATTTGTGAGGCATGATGTGCCACTTGGGATAAGGATCAAAAGTAGAGTGTGAAGGTCATGAAGTCATATGCAATTCTGTCTGTATTCAGTAGTCAGAACATGACTTACTGATCTTTTAGTAACTTCTGGTGTCCAGTATTACCTTTCATTCACTTGGGAACCACACTGTCTATGGGAGTGATTATAAGGGAAACTTGGATTATGTCTTAATGTTACTGTTTGTGAAAGACTGACAGTTCATTGACCCCCTAGACTTTTCTGTCATTCTTTCTATTTTTGGTCTTGTTGTCTTTGAAATCAAGAAGGACATTATCTTAGTTGGATGTGAGTTTAGTGAATAGACAGGTCTTCCTCCTCCTCCTCTTCCTTTTTTGTTTTTCTCCTTCTCTTGTTCTACCTGATCTTCCAGATCCAAGCTATATTTACATAAAAGCAAGTTTTCTGGTCAACCCAGAGAGCCATTTACTTGATCACCTGGCTGCAGGGTTTACATGATGAAATTATCTGGTTTTGCTGAATTAATTTCCATCTATGCCTATATGATTCCCATTCCCAGCATGCCAATCCCATTCTCAACTCTCCACCATTAACTTTGACTTTCAAAATTCTAAATACTTTTCAAGGCCCAACTCAGAAGTCATATTTCTCTCTGAAATCTTTCCTAATGCCTTTTAACTAGAAGTGATTTCCCCTACCTCTGGGCACCTATTTGTAACTCTTTGTTGTTGTTCAGTATCCGACTCTTTGTGACCCTGTAGACCATAGCACACCAATACTACCCATGGAGTTTTCTTGGCAAAACCACTGGAGTGGTTTGCCATTTCCTTCTCCAGTAGATTAAGGCAAACAGAGGTTAAACTACTTGCTCAGGGTCACACAACTAGTAAGCATCTAAGGCCAGATTTAAACTCAGGTCTTCCTGTCTCCAGGCCCAGTGCTCTATCTACTGAGACACTAAGCTGCCCCCTTATAAGTCATGCATTTGTAATTTTCTGCCTTGTATTATAGTTATTTACAAGCATGTCATCTTCCTTAGTAGATTATAAGCTTACTGGGAGCAGAGATATTGTTTGATTTATTTTGGAATCTCCCAAGGCACCAAACATAATGCCCTGAATATGTACCTAAAAATACGAGCAATCTACGATTTTGTCCATTGAGGAACTCCTTTCACTAACAAAGAGTTCAGTGACTCCTAGAAAGCTACTTGACACTCCTAAAGGTTAAGTG